TGTTGTAATATTGAATCATTTATCCTTGACATCTGATTGAAGAGGATTACGTTTACAGAATCTGGCTAACATAAACTTACAATTTACAACTTACACTGCCGTTGAGTAAATAGCCCACGCTCATCTCCTATCTAAACAACCAGTAATCAGTTAGAAAATGGCTTTTAGGAGCGACGTACAAGTTGTATTCAAATTATATTCCAATTTAAATTGTCATTAACAACCTTACATTTTCAATCTAACAACACGTGTCACTTTAATATAATATCCCCGACTGGGAGCTGATCTTTGATTCAAGTAGCCTCGTCCTCGACCGGCGTAGTGATACAGACGGGTGAAGCGGTCCATGGTGGACATAACGCCATCGCTTCCCTCGGGTGAAGCTGCAATATAGATGTCGTAAATTGGATATATTTCTAAAGGTTCTAATTGGTTGTTAGAGTTATGTTTTTCATCAATCCTAACCACCCTACCTTGAAATTGCAATGAAAGTGGTGTAAATGGGTGTCGAGCATGTATACCCATTACCGCATTACCGCATCGGACTTCCCCCCGGCGCATCAACATGGAGTGCTATTCATGTCGCTCGCAATTACTATTTGCAAGATGAAACTTACCTATTGACCACATGGAATGATAAAATTACGGTACAGTTTTTTCTTTATGAGTTAGACGTGAGCTTATGTTGTGATTAATAAGCACGGATTCATGCCCCGTAGCGGTGTCTGCTCACAATACGTTCTTATACTGATGCTGAGTAGTTAATAGCAAGGTAAACATTTAGTTTGTTTATAAATTCTCCAAATCAAATGAAACCCCTCGAGCACATTCCACGGGCTTCACACAGCGAACGCTTAATTAAAGTAGTCGAGTATTTGAAAATCTAATATCTTTATATTTATATAAAGCCTAGCTTGGGGCAAAATGTTCATGTACGTACTATACTTCAAGTTTGTTGTTCATAAGGAATGTGTTAATCCAAGGAAATGGAAGTACCCCATTCATCAATTGTTTTCCATGAAGAATTCGGCCGACAGATCACGGTGCATTTCTTTTTATAAGAGGCAATACATTGCTTCATATACAGCTACTGAAGACCCCACTACACATGCATATTTTACAAACGAAAGTTTTAGCTCACCTGACAAAAACACAAAACCTATAGGAAATGTGTAGTCAGAGAAGTCTCTGTAATAAGTTTTCTTTCGGGGGTATACAAGGGAAATATGAGGCTGCAGCTAGTGTATAGAGGGTATCATCTCTTGGAAGACATAACACCGAGTTACAGACTGATAACCGCATCTGTATTCAAGAAGTCAGCTGGAGGTGAGGGGAGGTGAAATGGGGTTTAACGTCGCGTCCAAGATTATTACATTTATATAGCGGCGTGCACGCACGTGTGTGTGTGGCTGCTTGTTCTGGTCAGGACTAGAGCCGATTTTATAGTGCTAGCCCACTGAGATACCATGCCACAGTTTAACATGAACATCCCACTCAGACACAGTATACTGACTCCGCGCCGAACAGTCCTTGGTTTAGCCCCTTAATGCCGAGCGCCAGACAGGGTAAAAACAAGTACCATCTTTAAATGACTTTTGGTCGGGGATCGAACACCGGACCTTCCGCTTTCCTGGCAGACACTCTAACACTAGGCCACGGGGGCGGTCAGACAGGCAAGGAGTACTGAGGACCTATTCTGTATTTGAGTCACCGCGTATACCAGGCGACATGAAGAAAATATGTTGTTCTTGTTGTTTGTTGTTTAACGCCGCACTCAGCAATATGCAGCTATATGGCGGTGGTCTGTAAATAATCGAGCCTGGACCAGACAACCCAGCGATTGACATCATGAGCATCGATCCACGCAATTGGGATACAATGACATGCATCTACGAAATCAGCGAGCCTGACAATCCGATCCCATTAGTCGCCTTTCACGGCAAGCATGGGTTGCTGAAGACCTGTTCTACCCAGGATCGTCACGAGTCATAGAAATATAACTATCTATGAAATAATCTCTAGACAATCCAGCAACAAATAGCTGATTGTTCATTAAAGGAGAACACAGGAGACAACGGTCACGTGACGCCAAAACAGAAATAAATGGCGGACTGTTCATTAAAGAAGGAACACGGGAAGCAACGGTCACGTGACGTCCAAACAGCAGTAAATGTTGGACAGCTCATACGATCCAGTGAAATGGCGGACTGCTCAGTAGTGGGGAGTCGCTGAAAGAAGCTTTTACATCCGCCACAGTTGTTCCCTCTACCCAATTCTCACAGAAAGGTCCAACACAAAAACGTAATTTGTGGATTTGACCATGTGGAAAAGTTGCAATTTGAAATGTCATATTTGTGGAAACCATTCAGAAGAAAACTGAATGGGTGCTCGCTGTTATTGGGCAAGGGTTGTGTTAACTGATTGAGCAGTGCGTTGTAAGAAACCCAGCCGAATGTAACAGTGTGTTTTACTCCTCGATTACGTCCGACTCACTCAGGATAAAAACATTGCAATTTACTTCCAAAGGATATTGTCACAGACCAGATCCTGGATCACAGATCACATGCGATACACCTTTGGTGGAAAGTTTAGATCATTACGCCATTATTCTATAGGTGAGGTGAGGTGAATTGGGTTGAACGTCGCGTCCAAGATTATTGCACTTATATAGCGACGTGCATGTACGTGTGTGTGTTTGTGTGGCTGCTTGTACTAGTCCGGACTGATGCCGATCATAGTGCTAGCCCATTGACATACCATGCCGCAGTTTAACATGAATACCCCACTCAGACACAGTATACTGACTCCGAGCCGACCAGTCCTTGTTTTGGCCCCTTAATGCCGAGTGCCAGACAGGGTAACAACAAGTACCATCTTTTAACGTCTTTTTGTATGACTCGGCCGTGTATCGAACCCCGGACCTCCCGCTCTCCGGGCGAACGCTCTAACACCAGACCACGGAGGCGGTGCCTTATTCTATAGCATCATCGATGTACATTATTTTCAGAAACCTGCGCCTTAAATTTTCCCAAGCACACCTATTTTACCAATTCGCCCTTTTTAGGTAACGATCATTTGATATTCTGGAAAGGGACCTTGAATGTTATCGAAAATAAGTAAATTAAAATTAATTTTGTTTCAGGCTGTTGAAAAAGGGCAAGGGTGCCCCACAACTCCATGCACCGTCCAAATATCATTCTTAATTTAGCTATAGATTAATGGAAAGATCTCATTCCGTTCTGTGAAATTTATTAAGATGTTATGTTAGCCCGTTACGGGGTTGATGATAGCCCGGATATTTGTTTCACACGGGGATTGTGGCCTGGATATGAAGCAACGGGACACCATGACGTCATACAAACACGGGAATTTCAGAACCCGGCTTACGTCCAGCTGTGATATATTCAGGTCATCATGTCGTGGAAATTTGTTACGAATTATGAAGCCATTCGAAACTGAGAGCGTCTGCATACGGATCACTCTGTTCCTTGCGGTTGTTCTGACAGGAAGTACATACGTCATAAAAGGCATGACCGATAGGTTGATGTCACGTATGCAAACCTGTACTCTGATGTGTGTTAATCTCTAGCTTCTTGAACACCAATGTCGTGTGTCCTATACTAAGCCTGACACCCAGCACTGAGCACCTAGATGTAGCGATGTGTTTGCTTGGAGGAAAGGAACCCATGTTCTAGGGCCTGGATGCTCGGGTGAGTGAGTGTCCCAACCCTAAGAACATAACACTGGTCCCAATCTTCAGAGGCTACCATTGGTGCCAACCCACTGAGTCTTCCATTGGTGCCAACCTTCAGAGTCTACCATTGGTGCCAACCTTCAGAGTCTTCCATTGGTGCCAACCCACTGAGTCTTCCATTGGTGCCAACCTTCAGAGTCTTCCACTGGTGCCAACCTTCAGAGTCTACCATTGGTGCCAACCTTCAGAGTCTACCATTGGTGCCAACCCACTGAGTCTTCCATTGGTGCCAACCTTCAGAGTCTTCCATTGGTGCCAACCCACTGAGTCTTCCATTGGTGCCAACCCACTGAGTCTTCCATTGGTGCCAACCCACAGAGTCTTCCATTGGTGCCAACCCACAGAGTCTTCCATTTGTGCCAACCTTCAGAGTCTTCCATTGGTGCCAACCCACAGAGTCTTCCATTGGTGCCAACCCACTGACTCTTCCATTGGTGCCAACCTTCAGAGTCTTCCATTGGTGCCAACCCACTGAGTCTTCCATTGGTGCCAACCCACAGAGTCTTCCATTGGTGCCAACCCACAGAGTCTTCCATTGGTGCCAACCTTCAGAGTCTTCCATTGGTGCCAACCCACTGAGTCTTCCATAGGTGCCAACCCACTGAGTCTTCCATTGGTGCCAACCCACAGAGTCTTCCATTGGTGCCAACCTTCAGAGTCTTCCATTGGTGCCAACCCACTGAGTCTTCCATAGGTGCCAACCCACTGAGTCTTCCATTGGTGCCAACCCACAGAGTCTTCCATTGGTGCCAACCCACAGAGTCTTCCATTGGTGCCAACCCACAGAGTCTTCCATTTGTGCCAACCCACTGAGTCTTCCATTGGTGCCAACCCTCCTGGAAATATAACAGCTCAGCAGCCAGTATGATAATCTAGTTTAGCATCTACATGTATTTCCTGTAAATAATTCTTATCCACGGTACTAGTATATAGTTTCATAATTGCATTGCTTGTATGTATAATTCCTTTACGAGCGTGTAGTATGTATCATGCCCTTCCGCGTATATCATTGGATTGCGGGTGTGTTCAAAAATTGTACGCCAACATTCTGATACATCAAGCATCCGGATGATAAATCCTCGCCTCATCCCCCTCCTCCCGGAAACAACCAGTCAGTGCTGAACCCATGAACCTGTGGGTATTACCCATAGCATTAAACTGCCAGAACGCAATCTGTTATAATTGGCGATGTAATTTTCGTAACCCTGATAGTAATTACATACAAGGTGTTTATAGAGGCAGTGATACCACAACTCCACTAGGACAAGCGCTGAGAAGGTGAACGTGGAGATGTGGAGCGTCCGTCAGCTGGATGGCACATGTCAGGGGTAAGTTCTCCTGGAACAGATCAGCGAGGCTTATCTCATCATATTTAACAAATGTACTACAATGTAACATGCGTGCAAAATGTGTTGTTAATCTTCGGTGATCAGACGTTATGTGTTCCATGTGTTGGCGATGTATGCAACACCTGATGCCGGCCTTGTAATCTCAGCTGGCTGATTAATGCTGTATCACATGCAAGCTCCACTGAGTGACACTGTATTGTGTGGGGGTTAGCACGTTATTGTTGAGAATTATTTCGCCGACTGCATTGTTCTTACTTACTGACTGATATAATTACAAAACAACATCACAGGCACGTGCAAAGATATCATCTCGTGCGGGCGATATGATGACCTGATCACCCTTCCAGAAAATTGATTGACGACACCGCAAAGGCGGATTTGTTTCGGAAGGTCTTGGAATGACATATTGCCGCAAGACAAGTTCCAGTGAACATAGTTGTGTCACTAGTGTTGTCTCAACCGCTCAGAAACAAACATACCCATTGCACCCAGACTGCCTGTATGTAACATGCATTCATCTGCTGAACACTATGACGTTCCTAACACTTACAGGTCTCGGGTATCGGTGGCGTCACAAGATCAAACGACGTATCTATTTCCGGGTCAGCGCGTGCTGCAAATACGACCTGCCAGCAGAGCAGACGACAGGTGGGTTGCGTGAGTCAATTCCGAAGATAAACATCCGGAGTTTATCATTGCTGATCAGAAAATCAATATATATTTATCTTTAATGTTTATTGTAAATGACGGTAACTCAAGAAATATTGATGTCTCAAAGATTTACCTCCCTTTGTCCCCAAGTTACACGAGCCATTTCACACATGTACATAAAGTAACACCTGTTCATATCATTCGCCATCATTATCCACGTAACTGGGAGTGTCAGTGATTGAGTATGACATTTAAACGTGATCAACGTGTTGAGATGGTTATCCTATGTGCTAACTGAGCTGAACCTATCGCGCTTTGTCCATAGGAAGCGGTGTAACAGGAACATATATGTGTACATACATATGCGACACAAGGGCTACCTATACGCACATATACGTGGAACCTAGTTACCTCGAAACTTATCCTTCTGTTATTACGAGGTACCAATTTTAAACCCGGAGCTTAAACCATCGGTTCACATAGACGTGAATTATGAAATCAATTAATGGCCACACAAGATCAATGAATAATCAATAAGTTATATATCAACAGTTTCAGGTTCACCATAAAAAGTTGATGAGTAAAAAACGTGACAGCAGCAATTAGTATCATGTTCTAGAATTGATGTCAGTGCATTTACGAATGTTCAGAATGTTGAATGTCTTGAAGCAGGGTTGCCTCCGTACTTGACGCAAGAAGAGTGTTTGACGCTGAAGGGGGGGGGGGGGGGGGGGGGGGGTCTCAATTCTTTATCTCAAAACATAATCCCAATCTAACTGTAATATTCAAATTACTTAGGTCATGAATATTGTAACCTTGTGCAAACAGCTTTTGAGCAACATACAGTTGGAACATGGCCTTGTCATGGTTACAACTGTCCCGAGAGAACTGCGAATATATTCTCACGCCAACATTGATAGAGGCAATTCGCCAGACGCCAACACTGACACCGAACAGTCGCCCGACGCCAACATTGATACAGGTAATTCGCCTGACGCCAACACTGACCAGTTGCCCAATGCCAATATTGATATCGACCAGTCCCCTGTCGCCAATATTGAAACCGACCAGACCCCTGTCGCCAATATTAAAACCGACCAGTCCCCTGTCGCCAATATTGAAACCGACCAGTCCCCGGACGCCAATATAGAGATCGACCAGTCCCCGGACGCCGATATTGATATCGACCAGTCGCCTGACGCCAATATTGCTACGACCAGTCCCCTGTCGCCAATATTGAGATCGACCAGTCCCCTGTCGCCAATATTGAAACCGACCAGACCCCTGTCGCCAATATTAAAACCGACCAGTCCCCTGTCGCCAACATTGAAACCGACCAGTCCCCGGACGCCGATATTGATATCGACCAGTCGCCTGACGCCAATATTGATATCGACCAGTCCCCTGTCGCCAATATTGATATCGACCAGTCCCCGGACGCCGATATTGATATCGACCAGTCGCCTGACGCCAATATTGATATCGACCAGTCCCCGGACGCCGATATTGATATCGACCAGTCGCCTGACGCCAATATTGATATCGACCAGTCCCCGGACGCCGATATTGATATCGACCAGTCCCCTGACGCCGATATTGAAACTGACCAGTCCTCTGACGCCAATATTGATATCGACCAGCCCCCGGACGCCAATATTGATACCGACCAGTCACCTGACGCCAATATTGATACCGACCAGTCCTCTGACGCCAATATTGATATCGACCAGCCCCCGGACGCCAATATTGATACCGACCAGTCACCTGACGCCAATATTGATACCGACCAGTCGCCTGAGGCCAATATTGATATACTGAAGAGACCAACATCTATAGTTTTCGTCTCAGAAATAAAGGTCTCTTGTTTAAAAATCTATATCCTCTAAATATAACATAAAATCCAAGTAGATCCCAGAACTGAGGCAACCTAGACTTGCAAAATCATCCAGACTTGTGTTGGACTCCTTTTTTAATATATTTTCTGGAGTCTGGGAGACAGACACACGGCCTCAGACCACAGTTCGCCTCTCTAAGTGTTGATCCGGAAGGGAAATAGGAAAACAATGGGGTTAAATGGGCTGTTCAGTACGTGACGTGTGAAAGATTAGACAGTGTATTTCGTTTCATTTTTTGTTTGTCCACAATCTACATGGTATTTGACCCCGCGTTGTTGTGAGTTTCGGTTCGAAACTTCCGGTGACCATTGTTAACAGTGGCGACTTTGAAATGTAGATGGTGGACCCAGGCTAATGGCTTGGTGTTTCAGTGACAAGTGGCAAGTCAGTCAGCATGCAGCAGGACAACAGCCTCTGACCCATATTAGTTACTGTGGACTGTCATGTCACCGTCATAGCAAAGAAGGCAGGTAGTTGTGGTCTGAGGCCATATGTGGGTGTATTTCTAAACTGCCGGGCAAAATAAAAAGTATGCACCCATGTTTGATTGTGGCTAAATTTAAACAAACAAGACATAGTTATTTGATAGTAATGTATTTGATACGGTGAGGTGAGGTGAGGTGAAATTGGGTTTAACGTCGCGTCCAAGATTATTGTACTTATTTAGCGACGTGCATGCACGTGTATGTGTGTGTGTGTGTGTGTGTGTGTGTGTGTGTGTGGCTGCTTGTACTAGTCCGGACTGATGCCGATTTATAGTGCTAGCTCACTGAGATACCATGCCGCAGTTTAACATGAATACCCCACTCAGACACAGTATACTGACTCCGAGCCGACCAGTCCTTGTTTTAGCCCCTTAATGCCGAGCGCCAGGGTAACAACAAGTATAATCTTTTAACGTCTTTTTGTATGACGCGGCCGGGGATCGAACCCCGGACCTTCCGCTCTCCGGGCGGACGCTCTACCACTAGACCACGGAGACGGTCTGTATTTGATACGGGTATCACAGTTGTATTTTGGACCCTAAGTTTGCAGTGTTTCAACGTTTTGATAACGTGTGTAATGTGTTGGCCAAATCCAACTTTCAAGTGGATACTTTCTTTTTCCCGGCAGTTTATGTCAATATGTTCTCCACTCCCTGCGTGGGTCACCCCCAGTGTGATGAACGAACGCCTCAGACCTGTGAAGATCCGGGGTAGAACAGGTCTTCAGCAACCCATGCTTGCCGTAAAAGGCGACTTTGCTTGTCGTAAGAGGCGACTAACGGGAGCGGGTGGTCAGGTTTGCTGACTTGGTTGATGCATGTCATCGAACCCAATTGCGTGGATTGATGCTCATGATATCAATCACTGGATTGTCTGGTCCAGACTCGATTATTTACAGACCGCCGTCATACAGCTGGAATATAGCTGAGTGCGGCGTTAAAACAACAAACCAACCAACCAACCAACAAACGCCTCACCGGTGTCCGGGATGAATGCGTAGCGGCCAGATAGCCAGTCCTGTCGCCATTTGATGGGGTAGTCCCAGTACATGTGGACCAGGTGGCTGCTTCCTCATCTTAAATGCAGTGGTTCGAGTCCGAGCAATATGTTCCTGCTGTTCACGTGGCTATATAATAGATCGATACAATATTTATATAGGATTTAATCAGTATATCTGTACATGCGCCATGAGCACAGCCACTATGTTCAGGAACTATGCAATTAAAGAAGATTGCGCGGGTAATCTCACCACAGCATCGCCACGTGCACGCACGTTCATGAAAGTTGCGTGGTACTGCCGCTTGCTGATTGGACACCACAGTGAGACAACTGACAGAGAAGATGATAGTTGGCCATTTGACATGTGAGTTGTTTGCTTGGGACAACCTTTGATTTTGCCTTCATCATTAAAACGCAGTCCGACAAAATGTCAATACAGGGCACAGCCATGGTAATCAATTTGAGGGGATGAATTATACAACAGCATGGCAGCACTTGGCAGTCAGGATCATTCAGTTAATAGCAAGCTACTCAGGCTAAAATAGAAAACTTCGTGATGTGCCTACTTTAATCATAAGTAGTTGCGATTAAAAGAAGTATTACATGTGCACAACTAGTCGTGTCAGGTAAAGTACTGGTGATGTATAACTAGTTGTGTCCAGTATAGTACTGCGGATCTTAAACTAGTTGTGTCCTGTATACTACTGGTGATGTAGAACAAGTTGTGTCCAGTATAGTACTGGAGCTGTAAAACTAGTTGTGTCCTGTATAGTGCAGGAGAAGTATAACTAGTTGTGTCCGGTATAGTACTTCGGATGTATAACTAGTTGCGTCCAGTATAGTACTGCGGATGTAAAACTAGTTGTGTCCTGTATACTACTGGAGAAGTATAAAAAGTTGTGACTGTATAACTAGGTGGTGCTGGATGGCAATACAAGACGGTCCTTGATAGACTTGGTGGTGCTGGATGGCAACACAAGACGGTCCTTGATAGACCTGGTGGTGCTGGGTGGCAATACAAGACGGTCCTTGATAGACCTGGTGGAGCTGGATGGCAACACAAGACGATCCTTGATAGACCTGGTGGTGGTGGGTTGCAACACAAGACGGTCCTTGATATACCTGGTGGTGCTGGGTGGCAACACAAGACGATCCTTGATAGACCTGGTGGTGGTGGGTTGCAACACAAGACGATCCTTGATAGACCTGGTGGTGGTGGGTTGCAATACAAGACGGTCCTTGATAGACCTGGTGGAGCTGGATGGCAACACAAGACGGTCCTTGATAGACCTGGTGGTGCTGGATGGCAACACAAGACGGTCCTTGATAGACTTGGTGGTGCTGGGTGGCAACACAAGAAGGTCCTTGATAGATCTGGTGGTGCTGGATGGCAACACAAGAAGGTCCTTGATAGACCTGGTGGTGGTGGGTTGCAATACAAGACGGTCCTTGATAGACCTGGTGGAGCTGGATGGCAACACAAGACGGTCCTTGATAGACTTGGTGGTGCTGGATGGCAACACAAGACGGTCCTTGATAGACCTGGTGGTGCTGGATGGCAACACAAGACGGTCCTTGATAGACTTGGTGGTGCTGGGTGGCAACACAAGAAGGTCCT